TCCGCGTGTGGAGGAAGATTTTCTGGAGATAATTTACTCCTGGGTAAGCCAAAATCAGATCCTTGCATCGGCAATTCAGATTCAGTTGGTGTATGCACATAAGATGGACCGCCAAAGCGTCTAGCACGAAGATCGATTTCGTGGCTGAGAATGTAGTCTTTCAATCGACTATCTTCAAGGCCCATTATCAAATGTTTGCACCGTTTGGCATAAGACATTTGGCCTAAAAGATAACCTATCGCTGGCAATGTAAGATATGTCACAATTTTTATAGCTCTATAACTGGATATATAACTATTAACTAAAGGCAGACGAGTCCCCATAAACAAAAAACCCGTGATTGGCAAGCATCTGTACCATAAAGCTTCGTTGAAACATCTTCGAATGGTTTTTACATCTTCTTGGGTCAAATCCTTGGGATCAAAACGATCCGTCATATCTTATTGAAAAGTAACGCGGATGAAAAAAAGTAGAAGACATGCGAGAAGGATGAGTATGTAGAAACTGCCGCCAGATCAAAACAATTTAAAACAAAACAAGTTATATTAAAATATGTACACAATTAATAGTAGTATAATAAGACTCTGATACATTTTCAATGCATTATAATATTCTATGTTTTGTTCTATATACTTTATGTTTGTTGCTAAAACGCTCAGCTGTATAAACGTCAGCGAACTAAAATTAATTTCTGCTAAAATTTTATCTAAACAGTATATTTTCCCATGAACTTTATCCTTTATAAAAAAAAGCATCTTGATAATTCTTTAATTTTTACGTATATTGTAATTACAGAAGTGGACCTCATGGTGCTGACAATTTATTTGAACAATGCTAATTAAAGCTTTCTACTAAAATTCAAAGTTACAGATCCCTCTATCTTCAGCAATTCGACTTTTCTATTGGTAAAACCTAATTCAAGAGATTCAAGAGGATATTCCCATTGGCCCATATCTTTAAAAGTGGTTTTCCTATACATGTTTGTTTTTGATCGAGTTAAATTTATTTTCATATCCTCGAAATCTATTCTAATATATAAGTTTGCTTATCAAATTCCCACATTAAGATTTTGAATAAGACTGTGTTTTATAAATCTCATGAAACGTAGGACCTTCGACTTAATACCCCTTTTATTTAGGCAACACGTTTGCATTTCCACATCCACTCAAGCAAATTAGTCATGTTTAGTAGGCCCAAAATTATTTGAGAAATGAGAGATGAAAGTTGTATCGTGATAAATTCATAATACTAAGGTATTTATTTTATTGTATCCGGTTTTCATACATAATAGATTAAATACAGGCAATTTCATAAGTTAATGAAGCATTTCCAACAAATAAATTGGTAAGTGATGACTCATCAACTAACAATGCATAATTCGACACAGTAACATCGGAAATGACTGCATGATAAATATCTTAATAAGGTCGAAGTGGAGGGATGGGGAAAAACTGGAAATACAGCGACATTAACTTGTATATCTTTGATATGAGGAATCAAATAATCGCTTGGCATTTTATGCTTAATGCGATGCACCTTAAAAGAGGATAAAGTTTATCAAATAGCTCAAACTTGTTTCGCTAAACAATTTAAAAAAATTTCATCCCTTCCTTATGGATGCTTAAATAGAAGACACCATTATATACTTATTCCTAAGGATCTGTTAATGCACTGAGTAATTGTAAGATATGCTTTTATACTTATTTAATATATCGCTTTTATCTTTATAAACTTACTTCTAGATGCCGTTGGTATACATGGCGAGAGATCGTTTTAATCCAAATTGTTAGTTAAATTATTAAATACTAAAAAAACACGTGCTAAAAATTAATATCTTATCTTTACCTATAAATGAGGCTACTGCTCTTTCTTAATATTTGTCTGATTAAATACTCGGGCTTTTATTAATTGATTTTTCGTATTTAAGTAGAGTTTTGAGACTATCAGTAAATCAGTTATATGAGATGTATTCACCCTATTTTGTTTAAGGTGATAAAGGACTACCATTCTAGGATAAAATATGGTGAATACTTCTCATATTATTAATTGAATTTAGCGGTTGCCTTTCACCTTATTTTATGCAGCCTTGAATTTACCATAAATAATACATTTATCCTTAGTCTTAACTCTCAGATATATACTCTTCGAGATTGTCAAAATACATAAACATATTTGATTCGTTCAAGTGATAACATGCAATCATGCATAGATTATGACAGATACACCAAATTAGCTGCTAATAAAAGAAACTAATAAATTCCTATACACATTGGCTGGTTGGAAGTTAGTCGGGGAGTCATTAGAAATAGTGGTTATATATAATTTCCGGTTTAAGTGGTCTGTGGGACAATAAAATTTCTGGCATGAGATTACATCCATTTGCTACTTATAAAAGAGCACACCCCTGGAATAGTCCAGTATAAATTATGAGTGATACATATTGAGTAAGTTGAGGATCAGAGGATTGGCGGTTGTACGAGGACAGACGGATCAGTGATATCACAATCTTTTGGTAGAAAATTAACCAATCGGAGAACTCTACTGGCTGAACTAACGAGTCGTAACATCGAACAAGGTGCGTTCACTTAGATGGCCACACCAATAAGTTGCGAAAACGACTTAATACAACGAAAGGAGACAGCCTCGCCTTTCATGTCGCAGATACCGAGGGAGGCCCTTGAGAAAATGGTGGAGGAGTGAGATTGTACACCCTTCATGAGACAATTACGGAACCTCAGCGGGTTAACGATTAACCATTGTGTTTGAGCTT